ATTTTGGTTTCATTCTCTATTCCACGGCAGAAGGATAAGGTACTTTATGATGTGATTTTTATACATGTTGGATATTTATTTTTGAAGAGATCATATCAATATAATAAGAGGGTAACATATGATAATTTCAAAAATTACTATTCATTCGTTATAGAGGGAAAAATAATTACCTTTGCACCATTGAATTGAAGGTAAATTCAGAAGGATCAATTGAGATTTAAAAAAGAGGGTGAGCTGAGAAAAAAAGAGTGAGCAAGTATCACTAGATTTCCTCGTATTTAAAGTTGTAAGCTTCTGTCCTTTCACTCCGTGACTTTCGTAACTAAATGTAGAAAAATATAAGGGGAATCACCTGCTCCATCAGTCCATCACCTACCGTTCAAAATGGTCACGTCACTACACATATCAATAAATTTAAGAAAATAATTTAGAATTAATTTTTTATATTATTTTCTTAAATTTTATATATTATTTAAGTAATTATTTTGTATTTATTTAAAAATTTTAATATTAAATATATTTACTCATTTAATAATATATAAAAATTATTTTAAAAAATTATTTTTATGTTACTAACCATAAATTTATCCGCCCTAATAGGGATAGCAATGGGTTCCCACCTTTTCCTATCCTCATCTCCGTTAATGGCGGGTATGGAAATCCCATAAGGATTTTTGATAAAGGTTCAAAAATAGCTTTCGTCCTCATACTCGTGGGTATTCGAAATTCCTGTCAAATAAAACTATCACCTACTCCGTTGCTTATTAATCAAAATTAAACTCAACAGGGACTTACTTGAAGCCTACTGGTTTCCACATTCATTAAATAAAATGAACTCAAATAATTATATAAAATAAAAAATTGAAATAAGACAACAAGCAATAAATATACACAGCCAATATATACACATTAAGCAGGTCTAACAAGTCAGCAACAAGTTCATAAAAAAAAAAGGCATAAACTGCCATATAAGTTCAACAAATTCAGCAAAATGTTCATAAAAAAAAAGGCATAAACTGTAACTATCATAAGCAAAGTTCATAGAAAAAAAGAATGCCTAAACTGCTACCATACATGTTTAGCAATAAGTTTATTAAGAAAGAAGACATAAAAGAGATGAGTTACTGGCGATTGGTTGAGAGATTGGAAAAGAGTTATTGAGTTGAGTGTGAGTGAGAGATGGGAGAATATCAATGTTGCAATGGTTGCATAATGGGTAATGATGATAAGAGCTTGAAGGGAATCATAGATGAGAATTGAGGAGTAGAAAGAGAGTTACAGCACAAAGCTGTAAAGGAGACTGGAAAGGAGGAATCACAAATCTAAAATTGAAATCTTTGGATAGTCCTTCTAGGGTTACCAATGTAAATTGGGTTGGGCAATTAGATTTAAGAAGACTAGATTGACGAAAAGAATAAGCTGGACTTAACAATTGGGTTTGGGAAAACTAAAAAAATAGTGGATTGTGAAATTTAGGTTGTATTGGCATTGAGTTAGCTAATTAGGTTGGGTAAATAAAAATTAATTGTTAATATATTTACAAAAAAAATATAAATAAACATAAATTTATATTTTTTTTTATTTTATATGGATCTTTACGGTTTTTCACGAGGTGAAGGAAATTTCAAGCGAAATTTCACGCAAAATTTCATGAGAAAAAAATGCCTCCATTCCCACCTTACAAGGAGGAATATTTTTGAAATCTCCATCCCCATGGCGGGGATCTTCGAAAAGCTCCATGGGTTGGGGAGGAAATTGTTATCTCTTACACCCTAGCATAATACACATAAGAAAGATTGTTGAGTTGGCAACAAAATTTGCTATTCAATATCTGAGATCTAATAAATTAATTAAATAAAGTATTTTATATTTTAAATTAAATATTAAAAATATAGTTTATTTTATAAATATATTAAAATATTTTAATATTGTTTTATTAAAAATATTTTAATAAATCATAAAATAGATTAAAATTTTAATATATAATTTAAACTATAA